GGATTGGTGTGCCCAGACTGTTTTCCGCGGCTCGAAAGCGAGCGCGTGCTCATGGCCCCTCGGAAGAACGGCTCCCCTGGCGCCAGCAGCTCTGCCACGGCGCTCGCCAGATTGCTCCTTTGCTTAATTACACCCGCTATTTAAAAATAAGTACATAAATAAATCAGCCTTTTTGCTTGTTTGCTGGGACCCTGCACCAGCACCCGGCACCCTTCGCTGTCTGACGGTGGGTTGCGCGCCGGGCAGCATCCCTGGCTCCCGCAGCCGGTGCCCATGGAGCGTGGAAATGGGGAGGGAAAGGGAATTCCCCCTGCTCCCATCTCCCACCTGCTGCTTCCGCAGCTTCCCTCGCCCTGGGAGTTGGGTGCGGACGCACGATGGCATCGCCGAGCCCCTCTGCATCCCCATCTTGGGTGCCTGAGCCTGGTCCCATGCCGGATCGCCCCACGGCAAAGCCCCGTGTCCGATCTCCGCGACCCCTCGAGACTTGGTGACCTCAGCGGCTGTTTTATTGTCTCAGCGCTCGGAGCGGGGGTTGGAGGGGTTTTTGGGGGGAAAAACGCGTCCCCCAGCCGAGTCGCTGCGCGTCCGAGCCAGCCAAACCTAAATTTCGGTGCCTCTGATGAGGTTTTCGTCGTTTGCGTGGGGAAAGGTGGCCCGGTTCGCATCCGTAAGGGGCAAGTTTGCACGGAGGTGGGGTCCCGCGTCCTCCCCCCAAAATCCGTGACCTCAGCTCCCCATCCCGCAGCTGCTTTGGGGGAAAAACGCGTGCCCCAGCCGAGTCGCTGCGCGTCCGAGCCAGCCAAACCTAAATTTCGGTGCCTCTGATGAGGTTTTCGTCGTTTGCGTGGGGAAAGGTGGCCCGGTTCGCATCCGTAAGGGGCAAGTTTGCACGGAGGTGGGGTCCCGCGTCCTCCCCCCAAAATCCGTGACCTCAGCTCCCCATCCCGCAGCTGCTTTTTTGGGGTAAAAAAAGGGAAAAACACACATCAAATAGGGAGGAGGGAAAAAAAGCAGGTCTGTGCTGGGGAACCGGGGA